TTAGGTCCAGCTCATTACGTACTCAAATTCTAAAGCAAAAAAGTGTAGATTTTGTAGCTATTAAATCTCATCCTATATTTTCAAGGTTGATGTATTCAACTCAGGGCCCTAATCTATCTTTAAGAGAACGATATTTTTTATATTGCTTTCGTTGTGAGTGAGAATTATTGCAATATTGTAAATCTAGACTAGTTTTTGAAAATAATTCATATAATGCACATCCAGATTGTCTATATTTGATTATTTGTATGCGTCCATGAATATTTTATTCAGATATCTTTGACTCTAAGAGATTTATAACAGTATCACCAAACTATTTGATGACATAGTGGCTGTTTACAAGACCAAATAGGACAATTGTAAGTGAATAAGGAGGCATCTGAGGCTTTAATAAGTAGCTGGGCCTATAAACCTACAGTTAATATGGAGATAATTAAGAAGTTTCACTTACAAACTAAAGAGGAAGCTAAGAGTAAGGATGACATTATTGATTGAAATAACCCCAATTATCTAATTTATTGGTAGAATATATAATCAAAGGATTAACAAAATGTATTAAGACAGAAAAGAGGATATGAAAATTTCATTCGTTTAATGGAACAGAAATATCTATCTATTCCTGTACTATTGACATTTTGTAAGGGACCTTATATCCTATTATAACTTAACGGCTTAAAAACAAATTTGACCAAAGATATCAGTAATGAACTTACTTCCGATTGGTAACCCAATGCCGTAGCCTCGAGGATCCCAGAAACCACCTAGTCTAACTAGATCACAGTTTCTTTGAGTATAATATTCATTCAGAGTTGATTCGAGAATAAATGCGTAGTCACCTTTCTTTACACGCTCAATGCCAGATTCGGTGGAATTCATTAGCACTCCCTCCTCGCTCTCCATATATTTGTTCATTGCTTCATATGGTGAAATTTTACTTGTCTTTTATAAAAATAAAAAAAACAACCAATAAATTATTGATATGAAGGCCAAGATCGTGTGGTTCTATAAACTGATAAATTTATAAAAACTTTTAAAATTCAATAGATTATCTGAAGACTAAGACGGTGTGACCCTCGGTATGATTGCAATCTCCTTTCGATGTATATAAGTGGTTTGACGTCATTTTAACAACTTGGTCTTGCTGTCTTAGACGCACCTTGTCCGAAGTCCTCTGCTATAGTCGTTTTCATAATTCTCAGCGTTTGAGAAAGTAGCATATTCACGGTCTGACACTGGCAATTAAGATAACTACTAT